TCTGACGAGTGGCCTTTTCCCGTCACCCCACACACTGTCTCGGGATGGATGAGGGCCAGGGGTCAAGCTTCCTGCCTACCCCTTGCCTCTGCAGAAAATGACTACTGCTCAACAGCCTCCTCTTTTCTAGAAATCTATTTATATTGTCATTTTATAACACTCTGGTCCCTTCCCCTACTTGGGGACAGATCTTCCCCTGTCCTCCAGGGTGGCACCAGGGACAGAACCACCATCTGAAGAATCAGGTTCCTGGCCCCTCGGTGCAGCCCTGCCCTTCCTCATCCCCTAGTTAGTTTTACAATTAAAACATTTTCTTGTTTTGAGTGTGTGTTATGTGTAGAGGCTCTGCCCAGGCTGTCTTGGAGTGGGTGTGAATGGGTGCTTCCTTTGGCTGCTACCCAGAAAGCCTATGATCTTCCAAAAATTCAGTCATCAAAGATGTGCAACTCCTGATAAGTGGGATTGCCAAGGGCAAGACTCTACTCATGGGCAGCTAACTGGTGAGCTCTAGCTAGTTAGTTCTGGCTGAGCCCAGAATTCCTGTGAGGCATAGGGTAAGGGCCATGTGATGTGAAGAGCTGGTGAGTTCTGGGTCAAAAAGCCGATGAGGACTCACCTCCCTCTCCGGGAGGGCACAGGATCAAGGCTCCCTCAGTCCATCTGTGGGTGTGCTCACAGTTTGCCAAGCCTCTAGTTGCTAAAGTCTTGACGATTGCTTGCCCTAAACATGCTCATGAACTTGATCATTTAGATCAGTCAGTGTCAGGTGGGCTTTTGGGAGGTTACAGGCTCTGACCTGGAGTTGCAGCTTTAGATACTTCATGGCATAAGCCCTTCTTCCTTATGAAGAAGACCCCTGACAACACGTGGAGGCCTGATGATGGGACCCAGGAGCATTTGGAGATGGGACAGTGCTGGCTCTGCATCTGCGGTTGCTCCCCACCGTCCAGGCACCCTCCTCACCGCCTTTAAAGGACTGAGTCAGCAGCACAAGCCCAGGGTCAACCCCTTACCCAGAGAATCAAGATGGGTAAGGCCAGATGTCAACTTGTTGATTAAAAGTTGAGTAGTAAAGGTTGAGTGTGTCCATGCCCCCCACCTCCCACCCCAGGCACCTGCCACTTCATGGCTTCACTGTGAATGGGCTACAATACAGATGATCTCAGAAAATGACCGCAGGTAATCACAGCTGGGAACAATGCAAACCGCTGTCTGCTGTGTGTGAAGGTGTTTGAGGACAGTGTGAAGGAATGGCATGAAAGAAATGTGGCAAAATTGGCTTCAGAGAAGTAGGAAACCAGGAAAGATCAAAGTGACCCCTACCCACAGAAAAAAAAAAGCCTCAGGTTTGAAAATTTTTACAAATGAGTTCCACCAAACGTTGGAGTGGCAAGCAATTCCTGTCTTGTGTAAAGAGAGAAAGACCCTCAGTGAGCTAGATTGACAGTGACTGCAGCAGTGGGCTCGTATGTCAGAGATAATGTGGATGGCACAAGATAGGACAGGGTTCAGAGCTGTTCGTAGGATTGCTCTGAGTCATACTCAGTGGCACCTAACAACAAGTTATTCCAGAAAACAGAAAAAAGACATCTCTCCAGTTCTGTTCAGGAGGTTGTTATAAGCAGATAAGCACAATGTAGTATTACAGGCACCCTCACCTAACCACAGCCTCTCTCAGACAGAACAGGAGGTGCCAAGTTCACAGCTGAGGAAATAGGAAGTCATTTGCTCAATTGTGGAGGCAAGTCATCTGATAACCAGAAAGTCAGTGGTTCAGACATCCAGCACCATGGAAGAATCAGACCTGGCATTCTGCTTCCAGAAAGACTACAGCCTTGAAACAAGTCTTTGTTACATATGGGGTCATCAGGAATCAGAACTGACAGAACAAGATGACACCAGTGTGTAAAGGTAACTTGACTATAAAAACTCACAAAATTTCTGAAGTCCATAGAAAATTACTTTGGATAGAGGCAAAGTCCTGAGTCCCTAGGCCTTCCTCCCGCCCCTGCCCTGCCTTCCTGCTGCTGTTGCCCTTGTGTCTCAGTGATCTGTTGGGAAACACACCCCCTACTTATTTCAGCAGGAGAGCTTAATACAATGCCAGTGGAAATGCTATAGAAACCACAGTCCCCTAAAGATTGATAGGGGGGAGTAGATTGCTTAAAAACGAGACCACCCCTGAGACTGGAGGAAAAGAGAATAAGATCTGTTAACCTTTAACTCCAGACTGACTTGCTTTCATCAGTAAAGACCAATCATACACCAGAAATCTTGTTCAGTAGAGGGTAGGTAAAAATGAGGGAACCCTCAATGAGATGAATTGACCAACCCACTAATGTGGAGTCCGTTCCAACACATAAATTTCATCAGGTTACAGAGCCGCAAATCTCTTCTGGAGAAGACTGCACCTTCTTTCTCCCAAGGAACAACTGGGAGGTTAGAACCACCAGACAGTTATGTACTGTGCCCAGCACTCCCGAGAGCCAAAAGCCACTCTGCCATCAAATCTGAACCCTCCAGGGTTTTTTCAGAAGCTGTAAATCACACAGGAGGAGAGTGCGTGTTTTTCTTCCACAGACCCACTGAGGAATTGAAATCTCTTGCCTCCAGTTTGGCAGCACAACTCCTTACTAGGCCACCAGAGCTCCTGTATCTCTAACAGCGGAGTCATATACCAGCATGCAAGAAGAGACCCAGGAATAGGTGTCACTGGATCTTAAGGTCACCAGCTAGGGTCGATTCAACTATTGCCGACAGAACCTGCTGTTGCTGCTGCTTCTGCCAGGAATAGAATGGCTTCCCCACCTAGAACCTCAGTGTCTCCTGCCCCTGGAACCTTACCTGATCCCATCTGGAAAGGGAGTCAGGAAAAGGGTTTTCAGATTTCTAGCCTTGGCTAGAGAGCATTTAGGAGAGCAAGTATGAGCTACGTAGTGACAGACACTAGACACAGCGATTATGGGAATCGAGGATGTGCTTTGTTCAGATTGTATTGACCAGACAAGGCTTTCCACAAAAAATAGATGTTAACTGGGCACGAGCAGAAGGTGCTGAGGGTGACAGATCTGCACTCCAAAGATCCACAGAGTATTTGTACACAGGCCTGACAAGTCCCTGGAGGGTGCTAACCTGAAGGTTGGAGGTTTCCTCCCAGAAACACCCAGGGAGAATGAGCTACAGAGCACAATTCTACCGTGACCCAGCGAGTTCCATGAGTCAGTGTCAAAGCCACGGCAAGTGGATGGAACTTGGCATGGGTCAGACTTGTGCCTGCTGAGATCCAAAGTGAGTGGTTCAGACGAGATAGACCAGGGGTTCTTAGTGTGGTGCTTGGCCCAACAACTTGTAGAAATTAAAATTCCCAGGTCCCAGCCCAGACAGAACCAGCAAGTGTTTTGATGCCTCTCAGGTATGAGAACTGCTGAGTTCACTTGCTCCTTCTGCTTGAGATTTCCATGATGCAGGATGACTGACTCCAGAAGACGTGAGGGCCAGGGGGAATTCCCCTGCAATCACCATCAGAGGTTGCACCATTGCTTACGTCATTGGCTAAAGTTTTGTCATGAGACCACACCCAGGAGCAAGGGAGATTGGGAAATGTAGTATTTTTCTTGGTGCAGTGGGGCAGTTCTGTGAGATGGAATCAACTACAAATTGGGGCATTCTCTTTACGCATCTCCCTTCTGACCTGGTTCCCATTAGTTTTTTTCGGATTTGAGAATTTACAGGTATCTCCCATTTTTTTGGAAAGCTCTCTTTACATCACTTTGCTTTTACAAAAGACATCAATGTCATTAAGCCTTAAATGGAATGCACTTCATTCTT